AAAATCTGATAGAACAAGAATTGCAAAGCATTTACTCTGAAACCCACTGCAGCAAAAGTTGTATTGTTTCAAGAAGAAGTTAAGGTTTAGATATGTTGGTTGGCCTTATTCCCCCACTTTTGCAGGCTCTCTCTCTCTGTCTCTGTGCTGCAGAAATGGAAAAAGAAAAGGAATAAGTTGCTTCTTTTACACAGCAATGGCACCCCTCTGAGTATCTGCAACATCAAGAACAAGGTCCATTATGAGCTCTCTCTCTCTCATTCCCTAAGCATGCCACCAATTTCTTTACCACTTTATGATATCAATGCTTCATATTTTTCATTCATCACTGTGCAGGTGGTGCCTACACACTGCAAATTTGTTCATCACTAAGATTCAAACTCATATGTTCAACAAAATAAGCAACAAATTCAATTGTTATTTCTATAAATGGTTTAATAATATTTATATTTGTTCATACATTTTCTTTTATTTTCTATTGTTTATTTTATGCTTTATCTTTAATTCAATTTGACCAAACTTAAATTTGTCTCACTCAGAATGAAATTGGTTTGAATCCAATTTTGTCCTTTGAAAGATTCTTCAATTTTTTTTTTTTTTTACATGAAATTAAAGTATTAAAATAAATAAAAAAGATAAAAGAACTCAAATTAAATGAGAAATTATTATAAATAAATAAAAAAAAGATAATTCCGTTAAACGTTGGAAACGTCGTATTCCTCGAGATGTGTTATGTTTTTCATGGCCCGTTGACCGTTTAATAAAATCCAACGTCCAAACACCGTCCAGGAAAATAATAATAATTAATAATTCCGCATAAAAATAAAATATTTTCACCTTTCTCTATTTTCAACGGAATATAATTACGTGGCGAGGTCCCATTGGAGGAGTTGGTTCAGTAAAGTTCTGATTACTCCAAGATTTCTGATACTCTTTTTTACAAATATTATTATTATTTTAATTGTTTCCACGTCAGCGACAGATACCAACCCAGAATTTCAAAACGCTTATTATATTAATCTCGTTTATAATTTTATATTTTGAAAAATAATTATTTTGATTTGCAATCAATTAATTACATGCTATGTGGATAAAATGATATATCCCTCTCGTATTTAGCTTAAAACAATGGTATGTTTAGTGATCTTTTATTAAATTTGGTTAAAAAACACACGAGTGAGAACAAAACATGCTAAAAGAATTCGTGTTATTATATGAAAATAGTAGCCATTTTATTTTAAAAGTAACAAGTAAATCACGAACTAAATATGAATTCTAAACATGGGTCGTTCACAAAAACTATACTACTAGAATTCTTCCATGTAAATGTGGAGACATAAACACGAGATTTTAGGGGATTGGAATGAAATAAAGGCATGAACTTTGGGAAAGGGAGGAGAAGAGAGAAAAAGTAAAGGGAAAAAATGGAGGTGGGGTAAGGGTTGGTTGCCATTTTTTATGAAGCAAAGAAAGAAAGGGAATGGGCAGCAAAAGCTAACAGAGAAATGAAGAAGAAGAAGAAGAAGAAGAACAGAAGAAGAAGTTCAATTCCCCAAAATTCAAAGCATCTATCCATCAAATCACCATCTTCTTCTTTACCCTACTTTTCTTTTTGATGAATCCCATGATGTAAAATAATTTTTTCTTTTTTACCTTTCACTATCTTATGCCAATATTTTCATATTTACGAGTATTCATACGTGCACGTGGAGTGAGATATCGAGATAATCATCTAAAAAAAAGAAAAGAAAATACTCCGTTAGTTAGGTATGGCTAATGTTCCTTGCATCCCGTTTGATATATATATATATATATATATTGTAACTAGGTTAAAATATGTTGAAAATTTTCTAATACTAACTCTATTCCGTGCTTATTGTAAAAAAAATATTTAAGAATAGAGCGGAACCCATGAATTTTATGGGCATTTAAATTTTGAATAGAAGAAGTATGTACTAACCTAATGCCTAATGTCCTATTGCAATATGTAACGTTAATCATTGTTTATTAGTTCAAATGGAGAGTTAATGAATAAATAATATGGTTCATTAAATTAAATATTAAAATGATTTAGCTGTATAATGACGTCAGAAGGATTTTGCTTACTCGGTCACTGCAAGTGATGACGTCATTCATTGTGTAAGATGCCTCAACTCTTGGATTATCACTATTTTTAAAAATATTTTATTACTTGTTAGCCTTTTTCACTAAAAAAACAAAAATAATATTTTAACTTAAAATGATCTGGCATAAAAATTTTATTGACATATTTTGCCGTGTTCATGAATTTAACATTAACTACCAAGATTCATCTGACATTTACATTTATCTCATAAATAAAAAATATAAAATGGAAGAAACAAAAGAAACTACAATTGTGAATATCGTTACTGTGAATGTTTGATTAATCCACCACACCTAAATGATGTGAAAGTTATCTTATTTATAATCAAATAAATTACAAGGATATGGAAATAATAATAAATGAAAAGATACCTATGATAATAAGGCAAATATTAGATATTTGCCTTATAATAAAATATCAAATATAATATATATGGTAAACTATAATTTATTACTAAATATCCTTAACAGTCACCATCGACATTTTTATATTTTCATCGATATGGACAGTTTAAATCTTAGGTCATTTCACAATGAAAGAATTAATTTCGAGTTAATTTATAAATTTGTATCTGTTACCAAAAGTGACTTATAAGAGTGAAGTTTAGTTCGGAAAAGTTTAAAACTAAATAGATAGATCATTCAAAGTTTGATAAACCAAATTTCACCGTTTGTTATAGGTATATGGCAATGATATTGTAAGATCCTACATCGGTTGGAGAGTAAAACGAAACATTCTTATAAGAGTGCAAAGACCTCTCCCTAATATATGTATTTTAAAACTATGAGAGGAAGCTCGAACGAGAAAGTCTAGAGAAGACAATATCTACTAACGGTAGGCTTGAACTGTTACAAATGGTATCAAAATCAAACACTAGGTAGTACGCCAACGAAGACACTAGGTTCCCAAGGGGGTGAAATATGAGATCTTAAATCGGTTGAAGAGGAGAACGAAACAGAGTAACTTTGAAGACTTCTAAAGGCAGAATATGAGATCCCATATCAGTTGGAGAGGGAAACAAAACGTTCCTTATCTTAAGCGCTTCAGGGCAAGTAAGGGCACAAAGCATTCCTCCTAAGATAACTTTAAAGTAAAGCCCAAACACAACAAACACAACAATAGGATAACTTTGAAGTAAAGCCCAAACACAACAATGTCTAACCGGTAGGACCCATCACATTAAAAGAGAGAGTGGGGGAAGGGTGAGATATCCAATAAATAGCAATAGTCTTATACGGTTTAGGGTGGTGTATATATCTGAGTCTGGGCAAGCACAGCAGTCAGTGTACTACAACTCTGTCCTAACTGAAACGCTTACACCTCCAAACTTATTAAATTTGGCAACAATGGAGGTTGGTTTAGCTTTGGCTATGCTGCATTGAAAGCAGCAGGCACATTTTTTTGGGACAACAATGAATTCACTTCACTACTCTTTAAGTTTAGCTCAGCCAAAGCTCATTTATCACAGCACAAGACGCAGCAATATGTAAACATGGAAATGAGCTGCAGCAGCAGCTGCTGATACAATTCTGACACTGTTAACGCACGCTTCAAAACTACACCAATGGCAATCATCATCAATGCCATCCCCACCTCCCGACCCTCTGATGCTCTTTTCCTGCCCACCACCTCTAAGCAGCTTCGTGGTGGTGGTGGGGGTAGCTAAATTTAACCATATCAAGAGGTAGATATCAGTATTCACAATCAGTGGGGTTTAACTTGAGAAACAAGGGATGTCAGAAGATGAGCGGGATTGTGGGGACGACTAATTATGAGTCAAAACAATGAAACCAGGGCAGAGAAGCCAATTGGGAAAGAAAAGGCCATGTGGTTTTGTGGGTAAATGACCTCACTCTCTGCCTAAACACTGCAAAAAAATAATCAATGGGGCTTTGTTTTTATGTCTGTGTTTGCCAGCTTAAGCATATGGAGTAATAAAGAGCCAAACGACGGAAGTCCTCGATTTGGTTCAGTGACTCGGTCCGATCCACAATGTTTTACCTTTTCTTGGGATGGCGTTTGTTGCTCCCGCATGGTACCGAACTGTGGTCGATGGAATCAATCATCAAAGATCCAAGGTGCCCTACAAAACAAGGGGAGCTAGATTAACATATAGAACAAATTCATATTTTAAGTACATCAATACAAACCAAACCCATTTCTTGGAAGCCAAGGTCGATTCCGTCTTCCTTTACAGTCTGGTGACTCTTTCCCTCTCTATCCTGATAGAAACTGAGCTAAATCCTTGGTCTTGTCAGCTTCTAAAAACTGAACATATGGGTGTTATTATTATAGTCCTAAATTTGTAATCCCACACGTTGTGAAGTGAATCCATCCAAATCTCTACCCTTCCACTACGTGGCAGCCTTTGAAATAGCTTTGGTAAGAGACCATTCCCTTAGGAAAGTTAAGTTCCTGGGTTCAGTCAATGCCGGCACAAGTATGTAAACTTACAGCTCATAGCAGAAGAAAGCTCATTTTATTTATGATAAGCCTGTACAAGGGAAGGAGTAGCTTGAGTCGCCACAGCCTAGCCATAACTAGTTACGTGTTCCGAATATATACACCATTTTTACATTTGGTTCTTTCTTCAGTACTTCAGTTTCAGGCATCAGTCCATTCATGTTCTTGTTGGTCTGGTCCTGGGAGGAAGAACTCCTCTTCTTGCTGTCTGAACATTCTTTCAACTTCTCTTCCTGGTATGTTGAATCCCAACTCTCTTGCTACGCTCTCCATCTTGTTCACTATGTTATCTTTCCCTGCAATTTTTTAAATAGACAGCTCAAGATTTCAGTAATGAATGTGGCTAGGTGAGATGTTTTAGCTGAGCAGAAACTTCAAAAGAAGTTCGACGTATTTTGAGTTATAGTCAAAGAAAGAATGAGATCAACATTGAATTGGGTAGACATTGACATGATACCAGCTGAAATATCCAAAATTTTATGTACAATTGTCTATGATTTTGGATTCAAATTCAGTTGTCCCAAAAGGTTTCCTTCCGCCCTCGAGTGCAAAGGCAAGAGGGAGCTGGACTGCAAGACCTCGGGACGAAAATTGACCTTAGTTATCTGAAGACCCAATTACAGTGTAAACATCTAGGTTTTCAATATGCTTATTACAGTGTAAACATCTAGGTTTTCAATATAGTTCAAAGCATGTTAATCAGATTGATTTATACCTGCTAGAAGATACTTGGTGTTGCCATAGGCATTGACTTCAAAGCAAACAATCTGAAGATTGTGGTTTGGAGAGGCAAAGACTGAAAAAGGATGACCTGCCGGAATTATGAACACCACCCCACGTCTCAGCCGCCCTCTAATCTTCTGGTAAGTCCCCTCGCCCGTCCGCTTATGCTCTCGCTCTGACCACCGGCCACCTCTCCCGGATGATGATGAAAGGTGCGGACACGCCATTTGGAACCCCCCTTCGCCGTCCACCACCACGGCTATCTTCGTGGCTTTGGAGTAATAGTGAGGAGTCATCATTGAACCCTTTAATGGAAAAACACAGCAAAAATAAGCAAGCAGCCTGCAGCTTACAAATGAACCAACCTACGAAGTAGAAGTAAATCATACTTTGGTCATGTTGGCAAAGGCAACAGCAACATTGAGGTCTCGAAGCTGGCGGAACTCACCAGGATCGGCTTCAAAGAGACGACCAAACTTATTCGACTGCCATGGATCTTGCTTGAGCAAATTGAATGGACGCTCAGTTTCACCTTCTGAGAAGGGCCAAATCCTTGGGATGAATTCTTCAGGTCGGCTAAGAGATCGGATCTGTTCTCTAGAAGCCTTGATTATGGTCCCCTCTTTTTGTTGCTCGAAAAATCTCTTCAACTTATCTTTTGGAATCTGTTCGGCAGCCAAAAGTTAGAAGGAATACATGTATGTACATATATATATATAAAAACCCAAAACACTGTTTAGGCAGTTTATAACCTTGAAGGCTGCTTCAAGCAAGTCCCAGCTGAAAGCTGTGTAAAATGATTCTGGGTTTTCACCGCCTGGCTGGAAAATCTGCTCCAAACATTCATTCTCAGACGAATTCAACAAAACAAAAAGACCCATGATACGAAATATGGTATCTAAATTATGCCATAATGATTTAGATCTAGTTTAGCTTGGGCTTTTAGTTTACAAATTCTTATGTTTATAACTTGCAAGCTATAGTCGTTCAAGCTATAGTCGTTCAAGTGTTAATGATCGAACTATGAGTTTTCTTTTACTCTTTAAGTCTTGATTATTCAGATAATCAATTTCAAAACTTTCCCTTCGGGTAGATTCCATATCGACCCACCTCGCTCATTTTGGTTTCAACTATCAAGATATCTATCTTCTTTTATGAAACGACTAGAAAAAAGAAAGGACTTCGGGGATTACTTCAAAACTTCCAGGAACAGAGGTGGATTGAAGAAGCTTAACAATCTTGAGCTTCTGATGTTCGTCCTTGTTTATGAAGTAAAAGGGGGCTCCAGATGGAACTCTGAAAACATCTCCACATTTCACATCAAAGCTTTGTCTCTTTTCCTTGATCACTGTGATCGTACCTCGTCCTGCAACCAACCAACACAAACTCCATAAAAAAAAGGTTCAAAAGTTTAAGAAATGAAGAAGTGTGGTGAGGAAAGGAAATAAGAAACTGGCGTACCCTCAGCAACGAACAGAATGATTTCAGCATCGAAATGGGAGGGACTCACGAACGTGGAAGGATTGACCTCCACCAACGAAACCCTATAATTCTCGATCCCACGAAGAAGCTCCGACCGCTGAGTGAATCTCTGAAGAACCCTAATTCTACCCTCCCCTGTTTCAACCCTCTCTTCGAAATGCTCATCATCAAACACATACGGATTACTCTCTCCATACTCTTCTTCTCTTTCTTCTTCGCTTTCGTAATACCTGCCTTCTTCTCTCTCCCTTTCCTTCTTCATCTTATGGTACTCATCGCACATTTTCTCGCAATCTCGCTTCTGCTTCTCGTCGAACTTCTGCTGGACCCTGCACTGGTGCTTACACTGCTCCAGCTCAGGGTCTTTGAAAGCGAGGCAGCCGACGGTGACAGATAGCAGTAGGAGGAGGAGGTAGATTTTGGAAGCCATTGTTGCTGAGAAGTGAAGGACAGTGGCGTGGGGTTTGGGGATTATAAGAAGGGTGTTGTGGCCTCATGCATGAGGACTGGTGTCCTGTTTACGTGTCCATTAATGGAGGAACTTGAAGCTTGGTAATGAGATTTGGATGGAGGAGACAGGTAGCTCAACTTCATATTAATTTTCATTTCAGTGATTCTAAGCATGATATTCATAAAAGGATAACTCAAACCTGGGGACGATTCATTTGGATTCCATCACCTTGTGGCATCTGCACAACTCTCCACGTTTGTCCTCACCAAGTTTCTAATAATATTTGGTTGTTCATGCCTTCCACTATAATTTCAAATCAACACAAGAAATATTAAGGAAGGGAAGAGCCAGCCAAAGCCAAAAAATGAGATTCTATAATTTGATTCCAAGGTTCTATATCTCGTATAGGTGAATAAAAGGCCAAAATTTACTAAAATAAATCTAAGAGGGCGAAAAATCTATGAAAAACTGAACTTCAAATCAAGATCATAACACAAAACTATGAATTTACACCCATGTTCATAGCTTTGATTTCCATGGCAACCAATGATTGTTGTTTTTCTGTTAGGAGATTGATTGATTCTTTTTGAAATCCACTTTAAAGTCATAATCATCATCTTCCATAGCGTCTGTAGACATGGATGATTTACTATTATTGTTTGCTTTTTTTCTCCTCTTCTTCTCTGCTCTCCTCATTTTTGTATTCAGAATACCTTCTGCTGAATACAGCTTCTCGTTTTGCCAGATAGTTGCATCTTGTCCTTTCGTTTTGCCCTCGTCATCGTCTTCTACCTGCTCCATTGACTCGTCGTCGCTGTTGTCCGATGCCTTCTCCAGGACTTCGTCGTCTTGTGTAGATGGTTGACCATTTCCATTCTACATTGCAAAATGATAACATATAAAGTCCTAATCCTAAACCCCACATGTAAGTAACAGAAAACCATCAGGCTATAAGAAGACAGATCATTGAACAAGATGCAAATCTCGAACCTTTAGCTCTTGCATAATATTCTCATCAAAATTCAGTGGACAACTTGGGGGAACTTCAACAGAACTGAAATCATCGACGGATTTGAGGCTTCCAATGAATGAAGATTCGCCACCATAAACCTCGTCAATGTTGAACTCTTTCCCAAGCTCTGAGACAATCCTTGCCTCTGAAGGTTCTACCTGACTCTTAACTGGGGGCATTGTGTAATATGGAATTTTGCCTATGACATCAAGCAAGCAGCATACTAAGAGCCCACCATCGGGAAAACTTATTTATGCTTTGTATGGGAAGCACGCATTTTCTTCTGTCCTAAACTAAGCAACAAAGCTAATTTCTTATCACAGAGAGAAAAGGAACATTTTCTTTGTTTTGTTTGATGACTTCCATTCAATAATGCAAGCAGACAACTAGTTTTGCACTTTTCATTTATCAATAGAAAGTTCTAAGACTTTTTTTCTTAAAACATTAATACCTTCGTTCCAGTCATGTAGAACAATTCTAGCAGCAGCTTCAACATCCACAATTCCCCCTTCTTAAGTTTGCCTCGAATAACCGCTATCTTCTGCAGAAAATCGTCGACCGTATCGAAGTTTGAAAGCTTATACAGAGTTACCAAGGTTTTGGATGGGCAAAGCTTCAAGATCTCCTTAACTAAGATATCCAAAAGTAGCAAATAAGCTTTAGAATACAAAACTCGAGGACCACAAAAAAAAAAAAAAAAAAAAGAGTTAAAAACATGGCAAATCAATTTACCAGGAGCAACGGGATCTTCCAACTTCTCTATTCTTTTGCAATTCCGCAAAGCTATAGATGGCTCATTTTCCTTAGACCTTACCATCACAACACCAGGGCAATCCAACAATTTGACATTCTTGTCCAAATGGACCTCTTGCATCGATCTAGTTAATCCTGGCGTAGCACCAACGTTGACAACATGGGATCTCTTCAGACCATTGATAAGACTTGCTTTTACCAACATTAGGCAAGACAATAACACCCACAGTAATTGATTTTTTAATCTGCCAAATTCAAATACACAATGGACCACATCGATTAACCAAAATTGAAAAGGAAATTTCCAGTAATTGATCAGAGAAACTTTAAGAACAATAACTATATATGCTAGAAAACTAATCCCATGGAGGAAGGATATAACAAATCAGTGCAAATACATCCAAAAATAATCATCAAAATCAGAGTGGGACGATCAAACATATCAAGCTTTCAAATTCACAAAAAGCAACGCCAAATAAAACAAAACAGAATGTTCAATTCTTGAAAGTTGAAACTGTAGAAATACCTCATAACTTCTTGAATAATTCTTCAACAATTTAATTAGTGTTTCAGCTCCAAAACAGTCACTTCTCTGCAACAAATTGCTTGTTTTCGTTTTGGATGTCTTTGAAGATTTCCAACCTAAGTTGGACCTTTGTTCTTGCGTGCTACACTTGAAAGCAACGGCAGGCAATTCTTCTCTCAGATAATTAAGCCACTTCTCCACCGCCTCTCGAGGAACAAGATCTGATACAAAATATATATATAAATACACATTAAAATTATAATTGCTACAGATGAAGATAAATACACAGCTTCTTAGGCATCACATGACTAATCCATCCACGGCTTTATGAGGATATCTAATAGCTTGTCACTAAGTTCATCTGATTAAGAGCAAGTTAAAACTAGTAAGCACAAACACTTAACCCAGTTTAACTTATAAGTGACAAAAAAGCAGTCTTTTTACACAAAACTTAGTCTTGCATCCTTAACTGGTTTTCAACACATCAAGTCAAACATGAAATGCAAATTGACATATATTAGGAACAAATATTGAAATTTTAAAGAAAAACATTGAAATCAGTTTTGAAAAAAATGTATGCGATAACCGTGTCGTATGATATCTATTTTCTATGTTTATATCCATCTTCTTTAGTCAGTAGAATTTTGACACAAGGGGAAAAAATTACCAATTTTGTTCAGAAGTAGTACAAGATGCTTATCAGGACCCGCTTTCATCACCATCTTCTCCATATCAATACAACGGGTGCCAAGGGGATCACGTGCATCCAAAACTTCTAAAATAACATCTGATGCCTCAATAACTTTGACCAATTCCTTGTAGAAAACCCTGTCTGAGTTATCTGAAAATTT